GAAGGATTTGGGGGGGGGGGCTCCGATAACCTCTGGAATTATCAGCCTCATCTCACGTTCACTTAAACCCCTTCAAGCCTTCCGCCCTCATCCTGTCATCGACACATCAGCAGACTTTACAGTCCTGGGGAATTACTGGCATATATCAGCATTTTATAGAGCTAATGACCCAGTCACTGAACCGGCTGGGTCACATATAAAATTAATATACAGTCATTATATAGTGGATAATGAACTGTGACAGTTAGTCATGCGGCCCTCCCCATTATATAGCATGTGTGTCCCCTGCAAAGTGACACTTGGGAGTCTGCAGTGTGCCCCGTGGCTCAGATTAAGCACATATTGTACCCTAAGAATCCTGGACTCTCTGGTTCTGATCCCTCGATCTACTGATCCATTGCAGGGAAGCTGCAAAGCTTTGACACTGCCACTCAACATACCCAGCAATGCCTTCTCAGCCCTGGGCAGGTACTAGTTACAGTGTATCAGTGGATATTGTGTGACTTCATTGAGACACTGTGTCAGGGGACCTGGGATCTGTCCTGCTCACCCTCCAAGATATACACTGATTCCTTGCAGTGACAGCACACAGTCTTGGCACTGTCACAACACAGAGACATCCCAATTCCTGAGTGGGTACTATAGTTACACTATCACAGAATGCCAGGTATGGCTCCCTGTCATCACCCCCACAGTCTCACATGCAGAGACAGCACACACAGACAGAACCACTCCTCTCCAGAATCACACGCCACACTCATCTGACACTGCCACCTTCTCTGTCCTGGGGACTGGCTGGTTGGTGGGCACTGATTACTGAGTATCTGCCATCTAGAACCTGTATTGCTGATGTTTGCATGATATACTGCTGGGTGGCACACATCCCATAGAATGCCCATGAGCAGTGCACTTACTTTCCATTCAGAGTACACATACAAGATGAACAGTACATATACGCACCATGCACACTGCCCATATATAGGGCATATATGCTCAATGTACAGTACTAATACACCTCATGCACAGTGCACCTACTCAATACATATACATCCCACACAGAGTACACAAATAGCCCATGCATACACATATAGAACCTATGCATAGTGCATACACTCTTGCACAGTACCACATACATCCCAACTGCTGTGCCAATATAACACTTACCCCCCCCCCCCATCTACTGTACCCATTTACCACATACACCT